GGGGGCTCCCCGTCACCGTGGTTACCGCTGCAGGCCCCCACAAGGACGAGGCTCGTGACGCCCTGCGGCGGGTGCAGCAGGCCGACGGCGTCAGAGGTGCGGGGACATCAGGGGCGGGTGGGAAGGTGGAGGTGGGCAGGAGAAGGAGGAGGAGGTTGGGATGGAGGAGGTGGGCATGGATGACTGGAGGAAGGACGGATGGAGTTGGTTGGGTGAAGGATGACTGGAGATGGGCATAGACAGAGGAAAGAAGGATGGATAGAGATGGAGGAGGTGGAAATGGACAGAGAGGAAGAATGCATGGAGATGGGAAGGTTGGGTGAAGGATGACTGGAGATGGAGGAGGCCCTGGATGGCTGGAGATGAAGCGGGCATGGGCAGCAGCAGGGAGGACAGTTGGAGATGGACGTGGTTGGGTGAAGGACAGGGGGAGATGGCAGCAGTGGGCATGCGTGGCTGGTCCAAGGCTGGGCAAGGGCCACAGTGGGTGCCAGGTGGCCGGGGTGGTCCACCCTGCTGCTCACCCCGACCCCATCCTGGCCAGCAGTGGTGGTGCTGTGCATGCACTCGGCGCTGCTGGGCGGCGAGGAGCAGCGGGTGCTCCTGGAGAAGGCGGAGGACATGCGCATGACCGATGGCACCTACGTCTTCATCCCCTACGACGCCCTCACCTTCCCCCTGCCCTACCACCGCGTGCCCTACCCCATCCTGGCCAACAACACCAAGCTCCGCCTGGCCTATGATGCCGTCCTCACCATCACCATCGACTCGCCCGAAGTTGGCTTCCACGAGGCCCTGCGCGAAGCCCAGGAGGCCTACGAGATCCCTGCCCACATCGACCCCACCCAGGTGGGTGGGGGGCACCACCGTGGGGCTGGGGTGGGGGTGGTCGGAGCCATTTGGGTGCAGCGGTAGATGTGGTGGGAGGGCTTTGGGTAGAGGTGTCCATGGCCTGTGGGCACTGGAAAGAGGGGCCATGGGAGTGGGGTGGAGGTGGCCAGTGGGAGTTAGGCAGAGACAAGCATGGCCAATGGATGTTGGGTAGATGTGGCTGTGGCCAATGGGACTTGAGGAAAGAAGATGCAGCCAAAGAAGCCAAGTGGAGGTGATCATGGCCAATGGGAGCAGGGTGGAGGAGGCTGTGGCCAATAGGAGTGGGATGGAGATGACCCTGGCCAATGGGCATTTGGTAGCCAAGACCATGGCCGGGGGCTTGGGGGGGAGCAGCCCCCAGCCAATAGATGGGGGGCAGAGATGATAACAGCCAACAGGATGGGGGTAGAGTTGACTGTGGCCAATGGGAGCAGGCTGGAGGTGGCCATGCCCAATAGAAGTGGGGTGGAGGTGACCACGGCCAATGGGAGTGGAGCCATGGCAAGCAAGCTCATTACATGGGTGCCACCACAGCCACCCCCAAGGTCCCCCCAACCCTTCCGCTTGCCCCACAGGTCCACCCGCTCTTCGCCACCCTCTACAACTCCATCTTCTTCCTGGCCAAGGCGGTGGAGGCCGCACGGCGCGCCGGGCGCTGGGTGATGGGCACCAGCGTGGCCGAGCATGCCCGGGACTTCAGCCTGGAGGGCTTCTGCCAGCCGCTGGCCGTGGACGAGGGCGGGGACGGCAACGGATGTGGCCTGTCTATGGGCGGGAGCCGGGCCCCCGGGGGCTGCGCTCCCTGGGCCACGGCATCCACTGGCCCCGCGGCGCCGGCCCCAGCACCGACCCCAGCTGCTGGTTTGACTCGGGTGCCATCTGCAACGGGGGTGAGCGAGGGCCATGGCACCCATGGTGGCACCCGCCACGCAGTGGTCTCGTCCAGCTGTCCTTCCTCATGCACCTTCCGTCCCTCTGCCCACTGCCTTCTCCAACCCCTTGCTCCTCGCTCTACAGGTGTCTCTGTCCAGCCCTCTGGCCTCGTACAAGGCCATCCGCCCATGCATCCAGCCATCCATCTACCCACCCATCCATAAATCCATCTGTCTGTCTATCTATCTGTCCTTCTGTTTTCTTACAAGGCCGTCCATCCGTCCATCTGTCCATCTGACCAGCCATCTACCCATCCATTTATCTCTCCATCCATCTGTCCATCCATCCGTCTGTCCATCCACCCATTCTTCTTTTCCTTCCTCCATTCCTCTGTCCATCTTTTCATTTATTTCTCTATTCCTCTGTTTTCTTACAAGTCCACTCAGCTATCCAGCCAGCCAACCATCTATCCGTCATCCATCCATGCATCCAATTCTCCATCCATCCGTCCATCCATCCATCCATCTGTCCTTCTATTTCTCCTTTTATCATCCCTCCATCCAATCCATCTCTCTGTCTGTCTGTCCATCCGTCCATCCATCCATCTCCATCCTTCTCTCCATCTGTCTGTCCGTCCATCTGTCCATTCATCCATGCATCCTTCTCTCCATCCATCCATCAATCCATCAGACTCCTCCTTCCCCCTCCTCCCTCTCTCTCTCCATCTCTCTGCCCTCCGGGCTGCACCACCCACTTCACCCTCCTTCCTCTCTCCCACACAGGGGTGGACGCCACCTTCGTCCTCCTCATGTTTGTCCTCGTCTCTGCACTCATCATGGCGGGGGCTGCTCTTGCCTGCTACATCAGGTGGGTGCCACGGGCCGTGGCAGGGGCCACCCCGAAACAGGGTCCTCAGGGTGGCCAGGGACGAGCCAGGTCCCCGTGGTGGCCCCCCCGTCACCCCCTGCTGCCGTGTCCCCCCTGCAGGCGCCGCATCCAGCAGGCCCAGCTGATGAAGGGGCCCAACAAGATCATCCTTACCATGGAGGACCTGACGTTCATCAACACCCAGAGCAGCAAGCGGGTGAGCAGTGGGCCTTCCTTGCAGCCTCAGAGTCCCCATTGGAGGTCTTGAAGGGAGAGTCATGGCCTGACATCTCCCCTGTGGCTAAGTTCTGCCTCAGAAGGAGATCAATGGGCTGGTGGGTCTCCATGGGTGACATGTCCTCCCATGGCCAGACATGTCCCCATGTCCTGACATGTGCCCGTGGCTGCCACATCCCCATGGGTGATGGATGTCCCCCTGTCCTGATGCATCTCCCTGGCTGCCACATCCCCATGGGTGACGTCCCCGCAGTCAGACATGTCCCCACATCCTGATGTGTCCCCATGGCTCCCATGTCTCCATGGGTGATGTCCCCGTGGCCAGACATGTGCTATGTCCTGACAAGTTTCCATGGCTGTCACATCCCCATGGCCAGACCTGTCCCTGTGCCCTGATGCGTTCCCATGGCCAGACGTGTCCCATAGCCACATGTGTCCTCATGGGTGATGTCCCCATGTTCTGATATGTCCTGATGTCCTGAAGTGTCCCCATGGCTGCCATGTTCCCATGAGTGACATCCCCACATCCTGAAATATCTCCACCCCCTGCCACATCCCCATGGCAAGACACATCCCCACGCCCTGACATGTCCCCATGGCCAGACACGTCCCTATATCCTGGCATAGCCCCATGTGTGCATCCTGACATGTCTCAGTGGGTGATGTCCCCATGCCCTAACATGTCCCCGTGGCCATACATGTCCCATGGCCAGACGTGTCTATGGGTGACGTCCCCATGGCCAGCCCTGCCCTGTGTCCTGCTGTGTCCCCGCGGGCCACATCCCCGCACCCTGACGTGTCCCTGTGCCACAGGTGGATGAGAGCCACGCCAGCCTGGCCAGCCGCAGCGGCACTGACGCCAAGAGCCTCCGGAGCGTGACCGCCGGTCCCGAGTCCCCCAACGTGGCCATCGCCGAGG